CGCTTAGAGAGGGCTGAAAGCCCTATGAAGCGGTATATAAGTCTAACTGCTATTGCTATTGCTATTGCTATTGCTTCAGCCTGCCGAATCAGCAAAGTGAGTAATTGAAGGAATTGCTAAAATGCAAAAACCTTGTACAAGCTCTGCTAACTGCATTGGCATTGCACGGTGATTTTTCAGCAAGGAAGGGACTGTGGTGTGAAGCGTGCCCACGCGACCTGATAAGGCCCTGCTCCGAAAATCAGAGCAGCAAAGATTGAATCAAGAATGAGATGCCTGCTCCACCAGCGGGCTGCAGAAACACCTGGACTAGAAAAGGAGCGAATTGATTTAGGACACCTGACGACAAGCCGCCCACCAGGCCGTTGCTAGGAAGCTAATGAAATATCTAGCTTTGTTGTGAGGCAGAGGGAAAGTGTGCAACGCCGGGCACCAATGAGCAGCAAAGTGTTGCATCAATACATTAAAAAAAAAAAGAAGAAGAAAAGAAGAACAAAGCTTTTTCTATTGACCTCTGGAGATTAAGGAGCACAAAAATGGTGTGTTTCTCTGGCCATATTGCATCACTGGGATCACGAAGAACAGAAATATTTGTCAAGGTAACAAGTCACCTGGGTCTAATGAAATGGGAGGTGATGCAGAATCATGGTCTGTTTTTTTAAAGTCTCCACCCTGGTAGAATTTGAGACCTATGTCAGGGTTGACTGCCCACCCACCTCTAAGAACGTCATCACCAAAGGGCAGAAGAATGAAGAAGCATCCGGTGGCAGGAAAGAGATGGCCCTTCAGTTGGAAATGTACATCGCTCCTTGTCCTTCGTTGGCCCTGGCAGCTTCCTGAATGAGAGATATTTATGAAAAGTCACGTCCAGAGACAATATCCAGGATTGTTGAAGAGCTGGTACAATATGCTTAAATAGATTTTATTCACTGACTAGCTGGATATCCGTGCTTTGTGACAAAACTATGTGATTGGGAAATGCAGGAGAAATCCGGTTTCACTCTGGTTCAATCCGTTGGCTCAGTCATGGTCGGGGATTGAAACACAGAAGGAAATATCGCTCCTGCTGGCTTGAATCCGGAAGCTGTTCCATAGGTGGAAGGCATCAGTGGTGGGTTTCAAATTTTTTTAGAACCTCTTCTGTAGGTGTGGCCTGCTTTGTGGGAGTGGCTTGCTGGCCATGTGACCTGGTAGGAGTGGCTTGCCAGCCATGTGACCAGGTGGGCATGGCCAACTTGTAAAATGTGGTGAAACTCACTTAACAATGCTCTTGCTTAACAACCAAAATGTTGGCTCAGAAACT